CCGTTGGTCTTCGAGGGCGCCACCAGCACGGACACCCCGCCCACGCCGCCGCCGCCGCCGCCCGTGCTGCTGATGTGCAAGCCGCCGTTGGTGTGACCGTTGAGGCCCAGGAGCGGCGGCGAGTTCTGTCCTCCCAGCAGCGGCGGAGACCCCTGCCCGCCCCCGAACGTCGAAAAGGTGGACAGGCTCCGAGGATTCCAGTCCTGGGGGAGGAAACAGTGGATTATTACAACACTGATATTAGAATATTATACCAAATAACAATCTAAAACTGCTAACTCTGACGCAATCGGTTTCAGAGTAGATTACAAGTACTATAGTCACCCCCGTAAAGAGATTCATTTTCTATGATCATAGCACTATAAGAAAACGAAAGTAATTTTATAGCAAACACTTCTTAAATAGTACAGTTAAGTTTGTCAAAGAGTTCAGCATACCTTAACCCACTGGTCACGGGTACATGCACTGTCCACTTTATATTTCTATGAATTTCATTGTACACATAAGGCTCCAAAAGTACTCAACCTCCATAGCGTCTATTAGTAGCCTCAGTTACCCTTCTTTGATATCCACACTCCTTGAATTTTCGTAATTTTCTTCCTACTGCTACTGGACTCGATACCAATACTATTATTATTAACACTGCGACTAACACGGTGTTATCAGAATACGAATATCAACAACACAGCCTCAACACTTCGAAAATCACGGAAAAAAAGAGAAATAGATAAATAAAGAGAAAATAGATAAATATGTGATATAGGGAGGACTAACAATTGACTCAATAATAAGAAAATAAGAACAATAATAACAACAACAACAACAATGAAAATAAAAGGTAAACAGAGGAAATAGATAAATATGTGATATAGGTAGGACTACAATTGACTCCTTGGTGATTTAGGTATACGTGGAGCCATCTATGGGCAAAAACAAATATTAAACCAAAATTACGTTGGGCCTGTCATGTCAGTCATGTTATTCCATCACAATGAATCAGACAAGATGGTATAGAGGATTATCTTTTACCCCTTTAAGTGCCCGATTAACGTAAATGATAAAAAAGCCAATTATTAATGATAACAATATTCCACATCAATAATTTGACAATTCTAAACCAATATTGTTATCATTATCAATAACAGTAATGGTGATAAAAATATATATAATGACAGCATTCAGTGTGCATAATAACGCTACGAAAGAAAATGATTATAAAATAATAACGGTAGAACACATTAAGTTAGGCGAATAGTAATAACAATAGAGATAATGAAAGTATAATCACCATCAACATGACAACATTACAACAGCAATGATACATATGAGTAACAATGATAACAATAATGATAATAAGACTACTACTAATAAATGGTGATGATAGTAATAATGATGATAATATATAATTATTATTATAATGAAAATATAATAATTGCGAAAATACTTATAAATAATTCAAATAACGATAATAATAAAAACAACAATAATAACAATAATAATATAATAATAATAATAATATAATAATAATAATAATAATAATAAATAATAATAATAATAATAATAATAATAATAAATAATAATAATAATAATAACAACAATAATAATAATATAATAATAATATCATAAATTATACAAAGAATAATTATGATGATAACAAACAATAACAACTACAATAAAATATATTGATGAGTAATAATACTAAAGAAAAAAAATAATAATAATAATGATAATAACAATGATAATACCCTCTCCAACGCCCTTTCCCCGTCAAATAGTGGTGTTAATAATAAAACGATCTATTCAGTGAATTATACTTGCCGCAAAGAAGAAGAATGATAATAATGATAACAATAACAACAATAATAATAATGATAGTGATTGTAACTAAGAATATAAAAACACTCTAGTAATAACAATAAAAGTAAACAATATATAATTTACAGATATATATAAGAAATTTATATATACAGATATATAAAGAAGAGAGTAAAGAGAGAGAGAGAGAGAGAGAGAGGAGAGAGAGAGAAGAGAGAGAGAGAGAGAGAAGAGAGAGAGAACAGGGAGAAGAGAGAGAGAGAGAGAGAGAGAGAGAGAGAGAGAGAGAGAGAGAGACAGATGACAAGAGAGACACAGAGAGAGAGACAGACCAGACAGAAGACACGAGAGACAAACACAGACAGACAGAGACAGACAAAGACAGAGACAATATCCGAGAAACAAACAGACAGACACAGAACCAACCAGACAACCATCGACCCAACCACCCATACAGACCAATGGCCATAACAAGCAGTCAGATGAACAAGGGCCCAAGAATTGAAGAAAATACAACCCTCTCCTACTACGTGTTAACTAAAGATCCCATAACTATACATCTGGTACTGAATGAGGCCAAAATACCGCAAAAAGGCTTATGTTATTGTTTACGTTTTAGTGTCCGTTGCGCAACGTAAAGGAGGCAACGGCCGTTTAAAATAAGTACTGTTGTGCGCGGCATGGTGTGTGGAAAGTGATGGTGGTGCTTGGGTGGTGGTGAAGATGGTGATGAAATGATGATTGGTGGTGGTGAAAAGTGGTGGATGGTGGATGATATGGTGATATTAAGTGGTGGTGGTGATGGGGTGGTGGTGATAGTGATGGTGCTAGTGGTGATGGTGAAGGTGTTGATCATTATCATGAAGATAAAACCAATAATTATAATAAATTACCATATGATCATTATTATTTTAATATAATAATGATAATGATAATATTAATGTAATTATAATAACAACAAATTGATAATAACAAAAATAACGATAATAATAATAATAATAACAACAACAACGACAATAACATAAACAATAATAATGTTATATTATTCTTACCAATCATTAATGTGATATATAATAACAATAATAAACAATATACAGTATAATATAATATATATAATATGATTATATATAATATAATATGATATTAATTGATAATTATATAATATAATATGATATAATATGATTCATATTATAAAAATATATATGATAACAGTAATAATAAATAATGATAAACATTCAATTCATAACAAAGTAACATCACTTTCACATCTCTTCCTTTTAGAGACAGAAGTTTCGGTTTGAAATATTTTGACGAGATTTTTGATAGCGAATAAACAAGCGTAATGGTGAAAGAGGGAAGAGGGAAGAGGGAGAGGGAGGGGAGGGAGGGAGGGGGAGGGAGGGGAGAGGGAGGGAGGGGGAGGAGGGAGAGGGGGGAGGGGGGAGAGAGGGAGGGAGGGAGAGGGAGGGAGGGAGGGAGTGGGAGAGGGAGAGGAGAGGGGAGAGGAGGGAGAGAGAAGAGGGAGGGAGAGAGAGAGGGAGGGAGAGAGAGAGAGAGAGAGAGAGAGAAGAGAGGGGAGAGAGAGAGAGAGAGAGAGAGAGAGAGAGAGAGAGAGAGAGAGAGAGAGAGAGAGAGAGAGAGACAGAGAGAGAAAGAGAGAAGCGAGAGAGAGAAAGCGAGAGAGGACAGAGAGCGAAAACAGAGAAAGAAAAAGGACAGAAAGACAGGACAGAGACAAAGAGAAAAGACAGACAGACAAACAGACAGACAGCAAATCAACCTGTCCGGCCACCCCAAGAATGCCATGCAACAGATTCGTGGTAAAGCAAGATACAATCTTCATCATGCAATACGCCACTAGCATCTTTCCAAACAGATTTACGAAGATGGTGTGGTGACGCAAAGGAATATTATTTGTTTGTACAGATTGTGGCCATTGCGGGGAGGGGGGAGGGGGAGGGGGGAGGGGGTGTCCCAATCAGCGTGTCTCGAGCGAAAATGGAGTTGTTTGTTTACGTTTTTTTTTTTTTCTTACGCGAAGCTTGACATTCCTTTTATTGTACTTGATATTCATCTTCCCGTCTTCCCTTTTTATTCTTTTTCTTTCATTTCTTTTATATTTCATTACCGTACCTATTAATCTCTTTCTGCCCTTATTTCGTCGTAATCAAAATAGTTGATTAGTAGGCCTATAAACCACCTGATTTCCCTATTATTTGAATTTTTAGGGAAAATAATTTTTTTTTTTTTTAGATAAATATTACTAATACCGATACTTTTATACTACCACTATGATGTTTATTATTGGTAATTCGATTATCATAATGCTATTAAGATACTAACGGCAATAGAGATGGAGAAAAAAAGTATTTTGTTGCCCACAAAATCCTCCACGAGTGCTGTTAATTTGTAGGCCTATGGAACAATCTGATTTCCCTCTTTCTTGAAATTTAGGGGGATCGATACTGTTCTTTCTTGAAATTTAGGGGAAAAAATATTTTTTTTTATATAATGCTACTGGTATCGATGTTGTTATGATATTTACTATTGGTAAGTCGATTGTCATAACGCTATTAAGATACCAACAGCAATAGAGATTGAAAAAATGGCAAAAGTATCTAATCTCTATGACTTCCTTTAATGTTAGATTAAAGTGGAAGTTTATGTTTATAGAACTGTGTATGATTGTTTAACATCATTTGAGTTTAGGTTTGGGTGACGAACAAGAATTAAAGGGAAAGGGAGCTAAATATGATGGATAGGATGAGGAGGAAGGATAGAGATGATAAAGAGGAAAGGAGATGGAAATAGAGTTAGTGATGGGAATAAGACAAGCGGATATAAGAGGATGTGTGGTCAACGGGGTAAGAGGAAAGAGAGAGAGACGAGGAAGAGAGAGAGAGAGAGAGAGAAGAGAGAGAGAGAGAGAGAGAGAGAGAGAGAGAGAGAGAGAGAGAGGAGAGAGAGAGAGAGAGAGAGAAGAGAGGGGGGGAAGAAAGATAGAGAGAGGAGAGAGGAAGCAAGACGAGAGAGCGAGAGAGAGAGAGAGAGAGAGAGAGAGAGAGAGAGCAGAGAGAGCCAGAGACAGTGAGACCAAGAACATAGTTACAAGCATCTGTTTACGTCAAACCATGCGCAATATTTATATAAATGCACACGAGGGGCTAAAAATGACTAGGATGATACTGGGCAACAGAAAGCATTGTATATACACACTCAAATAAAAGCTAATGAAGGTCATTGGCTCTGGGTGACTTGCATGCTCTTCCGAAATTAAATTTATTTGGTCATGTTTCCAACACGTGTTAACTCAGCCAATCAGGTTATGCTTTCGTCAGCGTAGGTTCGTTTGTTGGTTAACAAGATAACTCAGAAGGTTATGAATAGA